ATTTTTCATATCTTGTGTCGGATTTGTTTTGCCGGGTTGATCAAAAATTTGTGCATTCTTATTGGTGATTGACAAAAATTTACGCATAGTACATATACATGTATATCGATATCGAGCAACTACACGAAACTAGAATAGATTCTCTTTTGTGTGAAGTTACGTTACCTTTATCGTTATCGTTATTCTCTCACATCCTTTTTCTATACACGTTTGTTTGGTCGATCACTTTACCAAAAAAAAATCAATAAAAGCACAATGTAATTTCTTGTGATCAACTACACGAATAAAATGTCAGTCGTATATTGGATTCTATTAACCGCATTACTCGGATATATCTTTTTGAAAAGAAAAACAAAAAAAAATATTGAAAAGATTGCAAGTGAAGGATTAAAAAGTTTACCTGAACCGCCGGGGAAAAAACCGTTTATTGGTATTTATTCGTGTTTTGCTTTGTCGATTTGTGGCACTTTGTGCACTTGAGAATTATTAACTTGATTTTCCGTGTTTTAGGTCATGCTCATCTATTAGTGCGTCCAGGTCTTGGCAAACTGTAAGTTAAATAGGGTACTCATGAAAAAAAACCCTAATTCAATTTATTGACAAAATTTCATAGATGCACAAAATGGAAAAAGACATTGGGAGATATTTTGGCGTTGCAAGCAGTCACCCTAAATATTGTAGTACTTAATAGTGCGAAAGGTGTTGGCGATTTGTTTCAAAAACGTAATTGTTTAATTAAATTTATCTTTTATATATTAAAAAACGATTATTTACTAACGATTCGTTTAATAGGAGGCGCGAGTTATTCTTCACGCAACGGGACCTTCATTCTCTGGGAAATCGTTGGACGAAAGATTTGTTTTATTCTGTCGCCTTACAACGATTGGTATAAAAAAATGACGCCAATAGGTAATTTTTATTACTCATCATGTATTAAGGAATTGACTTGCTAATTCAAATAAATTTATTATTTTAATTGTAAGTGCACGGAATCTTTAACAAAAGCAAAATAGAAACGTTCATTGACTTAATTACAGAATGCTGCAATGACCTAGTAACCAACCTAAAAAATGCACAAAACTCCGATGGAATATTTCCACGTCCATACCTAGAGCACACAACTCTCAATATAATTCTCAACATTATCTATGGTACGAAATCAAGCGGCATCCAAGATCCCTTATACCTAAAACTCGTTTCGTTAACTCACGTCTGGTTCAGTTTTGGCAACATCAAAGCTCGAATTTATGATTGGTTCCCGCCTTTGCGCAACTTTTTGACAGGAAAAATGTCAATTATGCCTAGTGCTTTGGAGAACCGCGATGAATGGGAAAAAGTTCTGGGTGAGTTGTTGGAGAAGGTTAAGAGAGACGAAAAGAAGACTCCATGTATAGCGAGAGATCTTTTGGCGAAGGTTGAAGAAGGGGTGATTACGGAGTTAGAAATTTCTCATTTGAGTATTAGTTTGATCATTGCAGGGATGGTATGTATTTTTAGATATTAGCACTACAATGTATTTTGAGTTGTATTCATTTTTTCTGTAAAACTTTGATTATTTCAGGAAACCACAGCATCGAGTCTTACTTGGATTCTGGCTGCAATTGCAAATAATCCCGAAATTCAACTTCGCGCACAAAAAGAACTTGATTCAGTTGTGGGGCAATCAAAACTTCCATCTCATAAAGACTTGCCTTCTCTCCCATATATTCGTGCGATAGTCAAGGAAGGTCTACGCTGGGCACCACCGGTACACACATATAATCTTTCTTAACCAGCGTTGCCCGCTTCAATTAAAGTTTGCTATTGTAAAAATAAAATTTTTCTTTATCAATTTTATAGATACCAATGGGAGTAGGACACTTAACAGAACAAGACGACGAATACATGGGATACCACATCCTGAAAAACTCTGTAGTACTCCTTAACATGCTCGCGATACATTCCGATCCAACGCGATATCCGAACCCGCATATTTTCAATCCGGATCGGTATTTGGGTGTTACAGAGAGTGCAGCGACTTTAGCTCGAGGAAATCCGGAAAAACGGGATCAGTTTGCATTTGGTGCTGGACGAAGGCTTTGTGTTGGAATCCATTTGGTGAGATTCTCCAAATTTGTTATATCATAGAGCGAAACGATAATCATTAACTTTAATGAATCGGCATGGTTTAATAGGCTGAACTAGAACTTGAAAACTTGCTCGCATCTATACTAGCAGCTTTCAAAATCGAGATTCCTCACTCAAAAAACGAAAGTTCATCCAAACTCATAGATGTAAGCAAGTATTCATTCCAAGGAGGCGCGCAATGGATAAGTCCATATAAAATTTGTTTCATTCCAAGATCTTAATCACAAGGTGAAAAGTTAAATTTTAAAAATAACAATACAATTATCATTGTACAAATCAAACATTCACAATTCATAGTAATGTATTGTGATATCTGTAGTCAATATACGAATAAACTTTCGCATGATATCTTAGTTTGGCATGTAATTATGAATTGTTATCTATCAAATAATATGTTTGCAAGAATATAACGCGGCAAAAAATATAAAATCAAAAAAAGTATGACACTAAATTTCGAATTAACGCTCAAATATCAAATCGAAGCCGAATTCACAAAAGAGGTGAGAAATAAATAAGTGAAATTTTTCTTGTACGTAAAAGAGATCACTATCAAAATACGGATCTTTATTCGCACACGAATGTATATTTGCGCATATTAAATTTAAAAAATTTCTAAAAAATAGAAATTGCACTAATTATTTAAATTCCACTTACCTTTAGTCTCGCCATTTTTTTTTCCGTATTCCGTTAGATCGGGCATGGCGTTAGCGTACGTTCGTAGTTGGTTTCAAAATAACGCCCATGTGCGTCGCGCATCTTGCAATACATCAGCGGATCTATGTATAACATGTGTACATACCGATTTACTATATGTAATTTTCACATTGTTGAGGATATTAAAGATTGATTTTAAGGTTAGCATTAGCGTTAGTGTTGGGTTAGGGTTAGAGTGGAGGACAAGGTTATATGTAAATTGCGTTTCAAGCCAGATTTAAGCATTTGTTTTCCGTATTTTTCACATTATTCGCACTTAATTTTCCTGTCGGATTTGCTTTTCCGGGTTGATCAAAAATCTATGCATCTTTATTGGTTAATCTAGAATTATTTCCTGAGAAAAACCTGATAAAATCTTAATATTAGATTCAGATCAAGCTAAATATTTTGAAATAGTTCTGAATAATAATATTTAATCTGGAAAAGATCTGAAATAAATCTGATAATGATAAAAGCTGGTTAAAATAATCATCAAATTTTATCCAGGCCAGGGTTAAGTATATTTTGAAATACAGTGGCAATCAGAAATAATGCAATGACGTCAAAATTTATTAATTAAACATAGTAAAATGCAAATTTTTCTCTTTATATAAAAGTTTTCAATTTTACTAATAATATTTTTTATTTTTACATTAAAATGAAGATATTATCACATATTTTAACATATATTTTTTTCAGATTTTTTAGATTTAATTTGATAAAGCTGTTCTAATTGCATTATTTTTTTATAATTAAAACATAAAAAATCTGAAATATTTATTAGTAAAATTGAAAACTATTATATATAGAGATCTTCAAGAATATTGTGAACACTTTTTAAAATACAATAACGCAAAAACTAATAAAAAAGCAAGATTTATGATTCTAAGCTAATAATAGAATCATTGAAACTTATTGTACATTATATCAAAATTGCAAGTAATTTCAATAACTAGTTCAAAATATATAAATATAATATAAAAAATATAATTTAGTATCAAACTGAAAATTTATGTGAAAAAAATTATTCTATTTTATAAATATACAAATATCTTCATATTCAATAAACCAAATTAAATAATTTTATATCACCAGATTTACCAAGTCAAAATACATCTAATAATATCAAAATCATATAATTTGAATCATCAGATACAAAAATATAATATCTCAAAAATATTGTACAAAAATCAGAGTAAAAAAATAATTTAAAGAAAATTTTAAAGAAAAGCATTTTGCAAATATCTCTATATCCAGTGAATCAAATTGGATGATTTGATATCACTAGATTCATATAAACAAGACAAATTTAATGATATCAAAATCATCTAATTTGATTAATTGGATGTGAAGATATTCACAAAAAACTATTTTTTTAAAATTTATTCCAGTTTGGTACGTTATTTTTGAGACATAATATCTTCATATCTAGCAATCCAAATTGAATAATTTTAATATTATTAAATGATTTTGATTTGATACTAAATTTTATTTTATATATATTTATATATATTTTTTGAACTAGTTATTGAAATCACTTAAAATTTTGAT